TGTCAGGAACCTTGTGGGTACGTACAGCAGGGATTAGCTCATATATCTTAAAAACAAAGCCCAAGAAAGTCTAATTTTTTACCGCTGATTGCTGATACAGAATCCAGGTTTTCCACTGCCTCAATCATGAAGGAACTGGGGGAAGGACACTGCTTGTGGATGGGTTCTACGCCGCTGAAAAAGTTCGCCAGCAGTCTCCTGAAAACTTTGAGCTGCTTACCAAAGTGCCTATCAGACACGAGTACATTGAAAAGTCTGAAAACCACCGCAACCACATGACAGGCATCGGCCCTGTACTCAACGTCTATCCTTGGAACGATCAAATGTACCTGATTCGGTATGTTGGTGCTAAAGTATAACCACATTTTACTCATGTTTGTGCAGAAGTGGATCAATTCCTTAATACTAGACAAACTTTAAAGAAACCTCTGTAGTCATTTGTATTGTTATTTTTCTACTGTGTTCTTTCAGGAAATATTAAATTGTTGTCTCCTTTCTCCAACAGATACAACAACTATGACCGATCAGTGATAAACATAGTGCCCCACGACCTTGTTCGACGATGGTACGTGGCACATCGAGAGCTGACAAATGAACTGAGGAGACCAGAGAATGAGCTGTGGGTGAAACTGACTCCGGGAAAAGTAAGAACGCTGTTGGTTTGCAATTTGGTCATAAACAACTAAACTTGCTGTTTCTTGATATTTTCTTATGCCTTGTGTGCTTTCTCAAGTTTGATGATCTTGCCGTATTTCATGTAATTGCTTTTTATTAGCAATATAATCTAAGGATTCTTTGACTCTCTTTTCTTCGTTAGGTGATTTTCATTGACAACTGGCGGGTCCTGCATGGGAGGGACTCTTTCACCGGCCTGAGGCAGCTGTGCGGATGCTACCTGACCAGAGATGATGTCCTGAGTTCTGCACGCGTCTTCGGTCTGCAGGCCTGATCCTTGACATCAAGACCTCTTCACCGCTGTGCCTTATCAGTTAGCCTATACAAGTTAGAGTAAAGATGATCCAGGTCCTTTCTGAGAGAGAGAGATGGAGAAACGCGATTCAAGCCGAATCATCAAGTCAGTTGCTACAAAGTTGACCTCAACCCAACTTTGTAACAACCTTCAGGATAGGCGATTAATTTACCTAATTTACCTGGCTATCAATTGCCTGTTTTGATGGTTGGTACTCCAAGGTGAATGTATGTTTTATTGTTTAATACAACTTAACTGATTTCTGATTAGTCTACCCTCTATCAATTAAGGTATTACAACTATAGGTTGAGGTAGTTTTTACATTTCCACTGAGAGCCTTCTGAATCCAGTCACAGTCCTGCTGCATGTTTTAGGCAGTACTCACCCTTGTTTGTTATTTTTGCAATAAATGTTTGATTGTTGTTGTGTTTTTGAATGTCTCCTGAATCACACTTGAAACTGTATATGTATATGCTACCGCGGCCCGCCCATTGATAATCCCATCAGTTTTAATAGGCTTTCCTACACATTACACATGCAAAGAAAGCATACAAGCACACAGTAATTACTGTCAATTTACCATCAACACAAAGCTGCTAAATATTAAAAAATGTAATTGTTTTTCACTCACCAATGACTTCACTTCTTTACAATGAATGTAGGAGTTAGATTGTAAAATGAAGTCTATTTTGCCCCGACTGTACCTTTGCCGCAGTTCTAGGCCTTCTCACTGGGTGATGGGCCTGGAATCAGCACTTATGATTAGATAAGTTACAACATATCAGCACCAAACAATAGCAATAGCTAAGGGAATATCAGTTGTTTTATGTACTTTTGACTTGATGGCACAAGATGAGAAGTTAAGCATCACCAGAGCTACAAGTCATCCTCTGGACCATGAGAATATCATGGCAATCCTTCCAGGAGTTGTGGATAAATTCTAGTCTGGAGCAAAATAACATCATGAGTAACAAGTTACAAAGCCAGAAAGCTGCATCCAAATTTCAATTATAGGGTTATTCTATTTTACAGAAATTAGGAGTGTTCCTACAGCGTTGCGAGTTGTCTTATTTGAACATGAGTTTTAGAACTGTCAAAACAAATTCATTAATAAATATCTTTCAATTAGCAAACTTAAAGTTATCTCCAAATTATGAGAACATTGACGGCCAGTATTTTAGTTAGTTTTTATTTATTATTTGAGACCTATGTCATATGAAGTTTTCCTCTTAATTCAATTTTTCCACCTCTGTAAAACAAATCAAAAGTCTTGGAGCCAGACTGCTACTTGTTACAAGAGCCATAAGTGGGTAACGCTGCTCGACTTCACACATCTTTCTTGGTAGGGTGATGATGTGTTGGGTTAGTGTGAAACTGTCACTGAATTCATCTGAATAAAGCGGAGCAAGTTGGCTCCATAAATAACACAAGCAGCTCAGTTAAAGGGAACATATTGAAGGTCTCTGTGCTTCCTTTGTACTTGCCAAATGATTTTAGAGCTTTGAACACTAGCTTCAAATTGACAGAGGGGTAGCCATGTTGATATGAATTCAAGGTATTTGGTTGAAAGAGCAGTATTAGCTTATATTAATGAGGAAATTCCTTCACAAACTGTTTGCTAGGAAAGACAAACTTTTTCTCACATCCAGTTTTCTTCATGGATAAAATAATTGCACCATTATTATATGAATACTGTATATATAAGTAGACATGTTGTCATGCAAGCAATTACCTGTCAGAGTTTGAGTCCTTTGTGGAAGCCATCTTTTGTAACAGGAAGCAGGCCTCAACAGCAGTAGTTTAGTTAAGAAAATGTTTCATATTTGTGGTTCACTTGTCAATTCTTACTAGAGTAATGTCTCCTGATAGGCCAGTTTGAACTGAAAAGGTTCAATATCTGATATCTGGGTGCAGCAGTTTGAATAATTTTTTTTCTTTATATTTTGAAGGCTGTAAGTGAAAGCTCTGCCTATATTTCCAACACGCCACCCTGCCAGCAAGATTCTTCCATGTGTCTGTAGTACAAAATGCATACAATTGATCTGCAGATGTAAACAGAGAGAGAGGGACTCATTGATTTCGCGCATTTACTTTTCCAGCTGGATTAAAGTATTCCCCAGTGAACTTGTTGATATATGTATTGACAGTATATATCCGTATATTGATCCCCCCCCCCCCTATCAGGCAAACTATAAATCACTTGAAAATAAGGTTCTCTGTTAACCTTCACCTTGAAGGACTGTATATAGAGCATATGATGTTTTGTTACCAGGTCACAAAGAGCTCTAGATGCTTCTCCCTGTGTGAGCAGCTAAACATATTTTAGACCCCTGTGAGAATGCAGTGCTAAAGGGCAGCCCCTGTAGCTACATGGATTAAGTTATATTTCAGTCACCTGACCCCTCACCATGGAGGGATTACTGAACAGGCCTACATTTAACACAAAGAAACATACAAAAACTACAGAGACACAAAACAAATAAATAAATAACTACGAAATGTGGCAAAACAACAGTAAAATACACTGATTAACTGCAAAGAGACATGACATCACCACAAGGTGACATACAACAACAAAAGAGAGGATTAACATCTATAAATTCAGGTTAATGTGTGTCTGACCCTGTTGCTTATTGTATCATAATCCACCCATTTCCCTCAGAATAGGGTGGATTATGAAACACGAGACAAATCATGGACATCCAAGGACTCTTAATCTGACTGAGCGCTAACATTATGAGTCTCAGTGTAAATTTGCTGCCACCTAGATGAACCTTTTATTGATGATTATCATCATTGTCACACTTGATGAGCTAGATGACTCGTTGACTCAGAAAACGCAATATTTTATTGAACCAGAATTTCTGAACGTTAATACATAAACTTGTCATACATCATCACAGCTGCATTTGTCTGTATTACATTTATGCTTAATCAAATTAATTTGTCATATCCATTCACTGTAAAGACAAAAAATCCTATAATAAGACTTTTATCATTTGAAATATTTGAATCTTGGACTATTATCCTATTTATTTTTAAAATACTCATACTGATAATTTGCATGATGCAAATTCTACCGTCAAGTTGATTTACTTTAATTTTCTATTTTACACAATAAATTCAAGTTTCAGGGAGGATGTGGCTCAGTGGATAGTGTGATTTACTTCGAATCAGGGGATAGCAAGTTCAAGTCCCACTACAGTCAGCATGTCGTTGTGTCCCTGGGCAAGACACTTCACCCCAAATTGCTCCTGTGGGGATTGCCCACAGTACTCAATGTACTGTATGTAAGTCGCTAAGTAAAGCATCTAACAAATGTCATGTAATGTAAAAAAGTTCTATTTATAAAGTATATTGTATATCCAATGCAGGGCTCATCAACATGGTTTCAAGGACATTAGGTTAAATGGTCAACAAACATTGTTTCTATACAATCAAGCCAATTTAAAGTAAAAAATATATTAAAAAAGCTGTAAAATTGTTGGTTTGCAATTTAACTTTTTGATTAAGAAAACATGTAACAAAATTCTAATTCATACACGACAGTGAGCATGGACATAATGATGATTAAATGTGAGAATGACGTGTGCTGAGGGCTGGACATCCTGTTGTTCAGTGTAGTGACGTATTTGCAGGAGCTTTTTCTCCAGCTCTTTTTTTAGGCCTTGGGCCCATCTCCCTCAGCATGGAGGTTGCTGGGTGTAGTTGCCATGGTAACGCTATCTGAGGCTTCTGGGGCCTGAGTAGAGCTCCTCCTCGTGGGCAGAGAGAGAGTTGATGTTACACACTTGAATCAGGAATGACATGATGAAATGCAACAACATCAAGAGGTTAGAATCTCACATCATCTCGTTGCCCTCTGAGACTTTGATCGCTTTGTATTTGTGTTTCTTCAATGTGTGAGCGATGAACCACACAACCAGGACGATAAGGACACACCCGAGCAACGCACCAATCACTGCGCCGGCAATCACTCCATCTCCCACATCTGTACAATGAAGGGGAATAAGGCCTTTTTTAATACTGGTGTTGATGTGCATATTGTACGGAAGCCCTGAGAGGCAAATTATTTAAAAACATGTGGTAATCTCCCTTAATCCAATCTATAAAGTTTCCTCTCATTTCAATTACTTAAAACATTTTGCCAATATGACTTTTCATTTTTCTTTTACGTGAAACAAACTGGTGACGGTACAAACGTTTTACTCAATAAATTTTTTCTTTTGTTTCATGAGGATTGTTTGTTTTGTAACTCTCATGTTGGCCTTGGACTAAAAGCATTCCTTTTTTTTCGGGTCAGTTAGAATTTTTCAATGCGAGAGTACAAATAAGAGTGACCAAAAAAAAGGTAACATTGTTAATTTTCTGGCAAAACTTTAGTTTTCTTTCAATTTGCAAAAATGTTTCACGGATAAATAAACAACAGAAAATTATCTAAATATTGTCAAAAAAATTAATTAAATAAATAAATAAACATACCATCATGATTTAACTCTAAGGTGCAAGTTGAAAATCCCTCTCCATTTGTAGCAGTGCACTGGTATTCCCCAAACTCAAACTGGGATATGTTTCTGATTTCCAGAATTCCAGTTTCGGTGGCTGAAGAGACAAGTGCACACATGTTTATAACAAAGCAACAGGTATATTACAGGCAAACACACATGCAGTACTGACTTATTCCCATCACAGGCCTCCTTGTCCTGGCCTGGTCCAGTCTGATCCAGGTGTAGGTCGGGGGGGGGCTGCCGCGCTCGCTGTGGCAGGTCAGAGTGACCAGGTGTCCCGACTCCACGTCCCCGTGGATGGAGCAATAAGGAGTCGAGGGAGTCTCTGAGAGCACAGAGGACACATCAAATGACATTTAGAACGACTGGTGTAATCCTTAATCATTCATTTTACTTAAAAAATGTATCATATTTTAAGTCTTAAAAGTACCCAGTAACAATATGTTAAATAAATGGAAGTAGATTTCCACTATAGAAAAAATAGGTTGAAATATGATATAGTTAAGTAAAGTATGTTACACTGAAAAAACTGAAACGTTGACTTTAATTAAATGTATTATGTCAACAAATTTCACACAACTGTATTAGGTTTGTTGAAAGCAATAATATTAAGTTGAACCTAGTATTTTTTATTGAAACTTAATAGTATTGCTTTCATCTATCTAATACAGTTATGTGGAATCTGTTGACATAATACATTTAATTCAAATCAATGTTTCAGTTTTTCAGATCAGTTTAGAAAGAATATAGAAAGAGTTCATACTTTTCACTTCTGCTTTAAGGTTTTCATATGATAATCAGGAAGGGAGGGGCATTAAAGTGAGTGGGCATCCTCCTCCATTTGAGCATCAAACACTTCATTTCTGTTGACTTTATATGCACCATTTAGGGTGTAAATGTCTTGATTTATTTAAAGGAAAGCACACATCTCTGGGTGCCAGGTGATAATTATAAATGTGATAATGTATGCCATTTAAATGTTTTGGGCTGGAATGTGTATCACCAGCAACATATAATTATGGCCTTTATATTGATTACAATCTGAGAAATGATGTTAAGCCATTTGATTGATCAAATATGATCAATATGCCTGTTAATTCTGACTGCTCATTTTTATTACTGTTCATTTGTATAGTATCACAGCCATTCTTTCAGAAAGCAAAGACATGTTGTGCACTTCCTGGTTGAGAGTACTGTATGTATAAATATGTGTTTTGATTTTGTTAAAAATGACAAATCCTTTTTGTGGGTCTTTGAATCGACATCAGGCCGGAAGTGTGTTGGGTGTGGCCTTACAACTGTCACCTCCTGAGACTGTATATTTCCCAACACCTACCTAATAATCACAAAGGTGTTCTCTATATGTTGCTGAAAATCTTGAACAGGAAATAACTTCATTATTGAAATGTATTCTGTTTTCACAACAAGGGTAAAGCTTCCCCCCTTTTTTGTTATTCATGATCCACTCCCTCTCCTTAACATATTACCATAATTCTATGTAACAGTAAGAGATGATGAAAATCTTTCATCCCGTGATAATCAGCACGAGAACAGCCATACATATTCATACAGCATGAATCACATTCAGTATGCAGACACTGTCCTGCTAACATTTTCATAAAGGTTATGAAATACAAGACGTGTGTTTAGCATGCAGCAGATGCTGATATATACTCTGTATGCAGTACAAGGATGCAGTCACAGTCCTCCTCTAATTTCACACTGACAATGAGGAGACTGCTGCAGTAACCATGGCAACTAGTGAGGATACTGAGGCCTGCGAGGTTGTCCCTGGTAACTCGCTGAATGAGAAGATTCAAACTGAATGTGATTCCCTAATCTCGCTTTTCAGGGTCGCTGTTTTAATAGATTTGTTATTGTAACAACACTGAACATAGATACAGTCATCTCTGCACTGACATATTTATTGTAACTGTTTGCTCATCTCCATAGTTGTGTTACATAAAACCTTCTTAACTTTATAACTGATAGTGCGTTACAATGTGACTGTAGGTGACTTCATGTGGTCATTGTTTAATTTATAATGCATTACAACTGTGATTATAACAAATATATAATTGATTAAATAATCAATGGAACAATAGAAAATAATACACTATGATCATTGCAAAACGTTTTCAGCAAATGACCATCAAAAAACATAATGATACCCGAACTTTAAAACTAAGTAATGTTGATAGTGAGTAATGGTTACGGTCCAAATAGATTAAAGGGGCCTTATTCTGCTCATTTCCAGGTTCATATCAGTATGTAGTGTCTCTACTGTGACATATCTCCATGCTTTAATGTTCAAAAAGCTCTTTATTTTTCTCATACTGCCTGTGCTGCAGCACCTCTTTTCACCCTCTGTCTGAAACCAGAGCCTAGCTTGCTCTGAGCTGGCCTGCTCTGTTGTGATTGGTCAATGTCAATGCATGTTGAAAAATATTTTCAAATGAAAGCAAAAGACTAAGTCTCTGACACATTACTAATTTACTTTCACATGAATAATGTGAGAAAGACAAATAAGGATTAAGACATTCAAACATTCAACTTAAAACTAAAACAACAAAAAAACCTTTGTCCATGTTATTTTTCAAATCTCTAAGAGGCCGATAATGTGCTTTGGCTCTCCTTTTTCAGGCAGCCACACCCTTATGAGCAGCAGAACAATGGCTGATCACCGGGACAAGGTTTTCTTGTATTTATCTACCAGTAATAACGGTTTCTGACAGCAACAGCAGATCATCCTGTCAGACCGAACACATGTCCAGGTGTGAGCGCTGGTGTAAAAGCACCTTCAGAGAAACGAAGAACGACTTTTTGCTTTGCTCACTAACGTTCAGCCGATACCGCTGAGGGGTGTGGCGCGGCAATCCCCTTCACACTGTACACTCTCACAGTGTTATTTTACCAGATAAGAACTTTTATTCTGTATTCTCTATTATTAGTAATATGTACTTTCTTACTCATTTAATGGGTTTGGCCTTTTTTTCTTCTGCCCAGTAGGGTATGTTACTAAATGTATATTTACTATTCTACTAAAATACACATTTGAGGTACTTTTTCAATTTCCTGCTACTTTACACTTTTACTTCAAAATAATTCTGAAGCAAATAATATTCTTTTTACTCAACTTTATTTTTTTGATCGCTTCAGTTACTTTGCAGTACCAGATTGTCAATACAAACATTGATGTATTATTATAGGTCAAGCTGCATCAATAATCATAATACACGGTATATATGATACTTAAATCGGCCATTCTGCATTATAAGTACACGTTTTCTATACTGCAGTATACTTTAAGTTAAGTAAAAGGTATACTACAAACAATGAATACTGATTACTTCCTCCTTTGCTTCTTCTTCAGGTAAGAACCATTGGTTGAATAAACCACTTTTCAAATAACTTATTCATTTCCATTGAATGTCTAATGTTTAAAGCTCCACAACAGCAAGCTTTTCTATTTACAAATTGGGTTAAAAACCTTTTTTCACCCTCTTCAGTTCTCAAAACTTACCGAAAACAAGCACAAAGATATCGGCCTCAGATATTCCCTCCAAATCAGGAAGGTTGTGAACCTGACAGCTGTACACGCCGGTGTCTGATGGTTGTATGTTCCTTATTATGATGGAGGCATTATTGGTCGTGGCGGGAGAGGAGGGAGGCTGAACCCGGCCCTCATAAGATGATGTAATTTCTACGGCTCCAGATAGATAGTAATACACCTGAAAACACACAGCAACACATTAGACACAATAAAGACTCAACTGTTTCTGTCAATCCTCTTTGTAAAACTGGCTTGCCCAAGAGGTCCAGATGTTCAGAGTAAGATACACTGTAGATCATTGGTCGCCAACCAGTCGATCGCGATCGACCGGTTGATCGCGAGTGTGATGCGGGTAGATCGCGGACCGTTAAAAAAAAAAGTAACAAAAGAAAGAAAAATTAAATTAAAATAATAATGTTTGAAAAATACGTTTTTAGATGTAAACCTATCATCCACAGGTGCCACTTGATTGACGTATATTTGAGACACCTCAGTAATATAATACATTAACCGTGCTTTACGTGAACCTCATCATGACACAAGAGAGGACGATATGACTGCAATTTCCCGTGTTCAGTGAACGCAACAGAGGCAAGACACCAGACCAATCAGAGAGTTGCATGGAAATAAACGTGTGCTTGTGTCATTCAAGCTCGGCTCTGTGTGCGTGTGGCGATAGCGCATTTAGTGTGATAGAGAGAGACGGAGAGGAGAGAGGGAGAGAGAGAGGGAGGGAGAGAGGAAGAGAGGGAGAGAGAGGGACCGGTGCTAGCGGGGACCGTGATGTTAGCATCTGGTTAGCTAGCTGCACTAACGGACATAAGGAGCTGTTTCCACAACAAGCTGGAGGAGAGTCCTCCCTTGTCAGACTGAGGTGTTCAGGTGAGCTAAAGGACTCTCAAAGTGTTTAGAACGGTTTTGTCACAAATTATTCAAAAGATTATTTCCACGGCACACCTTCATATGATCATTATAGTTATACAAACAATAAGAGAATAAATGAAAAACAGGTATGAAATACTAGATGGCAGTAAAACAAGAATACAGTTTAAAAAGGGGAGTGATTTGTAAAATATCCATAAAGAAGAAGCCAACCTCCTATCCATCCCCACCCACAATTTATTTATTATATTTTATCTCGTTGTAATAGAGTGTTCGTTTTTTTGGAGGAATTTTGTTGTCAGTCACATGTCAGGTGACAGTTTCTGGGTCTAGGAGTTTCCGTATTTGAGGTTTAGACAAAAAGATTCAAAAGCTCCCTTGTGTTGTAGACAAACGTAACCAGCCCGCCCCCGAGGAGGTAGAGGGTCGACGGCACAACGAGGGTCGACCTTTTTGCCTTTACCCCACCAACAAAAAGTCCACCAAATTTTACGCAGCCATAACGGACGGAAAAATTTTTTTAAATTGAGATGGTTGGATGGACTAATCGGTAGGAGATGGTAAACCAACTGTACAGATACTGTGGTGTTTGTTGGAGATCTAGCAGTGACCCAATCTGCTTTCGGTAAGTGCGAAAGGAGCTGTTTCAGACCATACGATTTTTTAGTGACTGACTGTCTTTAGTAGAGAAAAACCAGTTGAAACTTTTCCATTGGTATAGGTATAAAAACTGGTATAAAAATTTACAGTTCGTGACTGACTTGATTAACTATTGAACTACGTGTTTTTTCAAATTGTTTGATTGATGTTATATTGATAAAATGTCTCAAAGGTCTCTACAATAAGGCTATGTTATAGCCATTTATTTATCTAAGTACCATATAAAATGATGTAGGAATATATGTAATTAATGTGTGATATGACGGTAATACTCAATCTCACTTTCTCACTATTATTAAATATATCGTCGGAAGTACGTACGCGTATGTCGGGTTTCAACGTGTGTCTACTCGTCAATCCGGTTGTGTCCTATATCTGTTAAACGACAATCCGGTCATACCTAAAGTGACAATCCGGTTAAGTCGGTAATTGTCATTCTACTTCGTTGCAAAAAAAAAATAATACTTTTTGTGAATTTAATGACAAAATATTAGATTATAGTTATAACTATGGAAAAAAAAAAATTTACAGATACACACAGGGTAAACTACTTTTTTTACGTTTGTTTATTAAAAAGGTAGGGCAAAAAAAAGAACAGACCGTTAATTTCGCCAATTCGAGTAGGGTGAAACTCGTTATGTAGTAAAACAAAAAAGGAGAGGAGTGTTCGGCCTCACGGACGGTAAAGGACTACCCTTTCGGTATAGAGGTCAGGAAAGGTCGACTCGGACCCTGAGCGACCCTGCGTCTCCCTTAGCTTCTAACAATTGAAAAATGTTCTGAGTGAGGTTGTGTAACTTCTTCCTTTCCACTATGATGACGGGGACTTTAAAAGATTTGCAAAACAAGAACTTAAAATGGGGGGCTAATGCTGTCCGTGAGTTACTGTCGAAGAACGTACATGGGAAAAATAAGTACAAATGATACAGCAGTCAAAATTTGTGTTGAAACGTAGTATAACCAACCGCTACTTTGTTTACTATATGATTTCGTCCTGACCGATTACTCCAAAAGAATTAAGGTTTTATAGTGTATTTTTTTTGTTAAATTTTTGTTGATCGGTATAAATAACTGTAACGAATCCACTTATATACGTGGAAAGAAACATAAGTAAAGTTGAACAAAAATCTCCTTCTTTTCTCGAAGCACCAACTTCTGCTCCCCCTGGGGAACACTTCTATTGTCTCTCACTTACTTTTCTCTGGAGTTCTCTCTGTCTCAGATGTCCACTTCGCCGCGTTTTCTACTTCTCCTCTACTTCCTTTTTGGGTTCTAGTGACAACCACGAAGGAAGTTACCGCGTCCGTGTGCAGGGGTTAGTGGAGTTGTCTCTTCTCTACAAATTTTAGAATTTAACTCAACTGGTTAATAACGTCGCAACGCGATACTCCATGTGTGTGCCATACGAAAGGCATCACTTACGTACGGAGGTTGAGGTAATGGAAAGGCTGTTCCGTGGAGCCGAGTATAGGTCTCAAGGACTCATCTAGTTATTGTGTCCGACAATACTTCATCGTCCCTCAAATCGGCGAGTATTCTCAGTATCTTAGCTACCAAAAGACAATTCCCAATACTGTCGAGAAAACTAACGTGAAATAAACTGTTCCAAAAAGTAAACAAAAGTAAACAAAGTTCTACTCTTATGTCAGTTTGAAAGTTCACTGTATGACAAGATCAGTTTTACAAAACCTTTGTTTACCACTTTCAACCTCTTGGTAATATCAAAACTGCGACATAAACACAGTTAACAAATTAATTACCTTATTTTTTGGGTCAGTGGTCAACACGGTTCATTGAAATTGAGAAGGAACTTAGCCGTAGTACTGAATAAAATGCGAGGAACCATGAATCTTAATTGTGAAACCTTTGCTTAAAATGAAAATAGGAGTAGACACAGGTAAGTCCATCCGACATAAGAATTCTCGGTGTAGAAAGTCGATGGTATGAGTGCGTCTCATGTCTCATGTCAAGGAACACCTGGCCTCACAAAGAGCCAGTAAACGACTTTATGACTAACTTCAAGTCAACACAGAAGACCGAGTTTCCGTCAGCTTAAGCCCCCTCCTGTAGGGACCTAGGAGAAGAAGAGGTTAGCCCAGGTCGTCGTCTAAAGGGGTCAGTTGTAGACCGAGGATTATTGGTATTGTCTCCAAAACCTTGTGAAACCACTTTTATTTACAGAATATTGTTCACCTTGTTACTGTAGTTCGATTATCAAACACAATAAAAACGTCAATTTTATTGTGTTTGACTTATTGTACGGGTCTTTTACCAGTACGGTTCTATCCCTTCTTTCGTTAGAAAACTGTTACATACAATGTGTTTATTGTACATTCATTAATGAATAGCACCCTAACGGGGTGTCATGACTTCATACATTTCAGCGAAACTCTATTTTCGCAGGGATTGTTGCACTGTACATATACATTGATGACTTTGCTCTAGTTATTGAGACCCGAGGAGGCCGACTAGTTACAAACAGACGTAGTCAGTTCAACGGTATTGACGAGACCTGTCAACCAAGGCAAGTTCACGACTCACCTACTACCAAGGTGGAAGGACATTTTTAAGGGGATCCGGTAGACTTCAGCCCCTCCTTACTACATTCACGTGTGTCTTCTCCAGAGACAACTACTCTACAGCTCGGTTGGTAGGAGAAAGCTCCTTTATCGTCATAACCGTCTCATGAACAACTACTTTTACTGAGCATGTAGGTGCGGTTTCTGCGAGTTAGATACCTACTTTATTGTACCAAGATCCCTTTTGGTCAAGTTCACTAGTAAAAGTACGACCGGATCGTACCCAACTTCACGTTCCACGAACCAGGATGTGTAGTCTATCAGTGGAGTGATTAACTCAATGATGTTCTACGGACGTTAAAATGTAGACCAAATATTTTTACTTGTTGAAATGGTCTCTACTTGAAGGTGCCAGCACGGAGCTTGGCTTTTGTACTTAAGCGCTAGACACTGCAAAAGATGAGGGAAGACCAGAGGAGACTGGACTTTACATGTTGTCAAACTTGGTTTCCTGACAGTTTCTTTTATGACGTAGGTTTGCACAGTGTACTAACCTAGATCAAGAGGTTTCTCACGAAAAAAGACACTTAAGTGGAATTCCGGTGAGGTACAGAAACACAACGAGGATTCTTTCTTCGGTACCGACAATGCGTGCCAACCCAACCAGCTTCGTGGGTTCATGTAATGGACAGTCTTTTCGTCTCTTTATAAATTTCTTATCCCGTTAATGTGTGTTCTTGATCCGTTTGTAAGACAATTTGACACATAATATCCCTTTTTTTCCGTCTCTAATTTCTTAACAGGGACAACGTTATCTTATTCGTTTGTTATGAGCTGTATGTATATAGACTGGGAGTAATTATGAACACGTCGTTTTTATCCGTCTACGTGTTTTAGAGGAAATATAGATGAACTGAAACGACGGAAGGAAAAATCAGGTATGTGAAAGGAGGTAAACCTGGTTTTAAGGAAGTTCGTTTCGGTCCTGTGTCGCAACCCTGGTAGAAAACACCAAAATTCATCGATCAGCATTGGCATGTTTTTATATGTACAAACAAATTACACAGCAGTGACTTCACTTTACGTCAGAAGGAAAGAGCTTATGGGCAGGTGTAGGTGGTTTATTTCTTGTTACAATATATGACCCTTTTGGTTCTTGTTGACAATATCGTGAGAACCTGTCAACTTTGTGACTAAGAGGTTTTGACCCTGTAAATGTTTCTCTAATAAAGAAATTTTAGTGATGCACTTTATATTTATGGTGGCTGGGCCGATAGTTAAAACCAACCATTAGGGTTGCACGTGTTCGCTGTCTCCGGGAGGCGTGACTTACTACAAGGAGGAGTGTTGTGTCGGGTCTTGATCGGTCAGACCTCTCCTATCGGATACCTTGGGTGAGCTACGTAACTCCGTCGGAAGACAGGTAACAATGTGCTCTTGGTTACCTATTGTTAGGCGGAAACTGGGTAAGCCATAGGTCGGTCGACCCGTACAGGTAAGAACTAGCCTATACTGGTGCAATTAGGGTTGAGGAGTAGTGACTACTCGATATATAAAGACTTTGTCTATTCGGGTTTGAGTAGAGTAGGAAGATTTGCTGACACCGGACCTTACTTTGTGGGGCATCGTCGAATGTTTACGTTCCGTAGGCTATCCAAACCAGGGGTTGTAGGAAGTTGGTGACGACGGAGACGGTTAAGTCTTGAATCCTGCAGGAGAATTCTGGTCACCAGTGAGTTGGAAAGAATTCGGGTTTTCTAGTGCTGGAGCCGTTATCACTATCCGCTTAGTGGATCAACGTCTTAACTTCACCTTTTTATGCCGGCGTCTGTTACCAGGATAAACTCGGGAAAATTATATCCGATAACGCAGACTTAATGACAATGTTACTTCCGAGGTATTAGTCGATGTTGTCGTATATCCGTTCCCATATTCACGTTCAGAAATACTCACCCCCCGCCTGGAGTTGAAACAATCCCCCCCAGTCGAGTAAAGAGAGGGATCCCCCCAGGAGTGGAGGAAGATTCCAGGAGTGGAGGACATACCCCCAAGCTCCCCTACGAGGGGACCATTACTTAAAAAAAAATTATAACTTCAACTTTCGTAGTTTAGTAACCACGTGAAACTCTCGTTGTAACTTCTCTAGATACCTATGTAGAGAGTCGTGGCTAGCTATTCTGTATACTTTTGTATTGCATTTGTCTAAATGAAAAAAGAGAGATATTATTTAATTAGTTATTAGTCTAATTAGCAAATCGGCCGATAATGTCCACGAGTTTCTGCGAAATTGTCTATATCCACTTCTCTTTTCTTTCCTTGTTGTTTATTTTCATATCATCAATTTCAATTTTAGTTTATTATGTTTTGTTTTGTTTAGTGTGTAACTTTCGGTCTAAACTTCTCCACTCTAAAACATTCACAAAACTTCCACCACTCCAGTCACGTCAGAGACTACCCAACACCCTCACTCAAGGTCTCCCTCCCCCGTCGCTGCCTCTTCCGAGACAGGGGGTCCAGGNAGGTCCGCCCCCCACTCATAAAATTTGCACTTTACCCCTGCCTATATTTCGTGAGCTGATTATGGAGCCTTCATTGTAACATTAATTCAGATGCAATTAGCCTATATAAAAGGGCTCAAATTGGAAGCATTGTCTGGGCCGTCTTTTTCACTCAATTCTGCAATAGGTAGATCTCGCCTTTCACCTAGGCCGAGGTCGGTGATCTTGGGCTTAAAAAGGTTGGTGACCACTGCTTTAGATACTCAATGATACCAACATTCACACTGGATATGTACTTTAATCCGAGAGAGAATGGTGTCTTCTGTATTGTTAAGGCAGTTTATTGGATTAGCATTGCCAACAAAAATATTTTTCACAAGGATAGTTTCAAATAGTAGTATAAAAAAGTAGAAATATGTATGTTTATGACGTAGTCCCCATTAAATAATAAATAAAAAAACTTCAAGTTGTCCATGGTCCTAGATAAATCCCTTTAAGTGTTATTAGGTCCAGTGGATGGTACCATTTTGCTCATAAAGTAACTTGAACACCTGTAGTAGATAATTAAACATGAGTGGTCCTGTTAAATCAGTTTAAATTCAGAAGAAAAATTATACTGGATTGGTGTTTTAAAGAACTGCCTTTATCTGATTTGGCATTCAGTCTTTGTTGTCTCAGTGAGGTGTGTCTCATGACCGTTGGTGAAGAATACGCGGCATACTGGAGTAGAAAAAGGCGCTAACCTGTGTGGAAGATGCATTTTATGTTAGGCTCTATAATGAGGTTAATAGTAAATTATGGCAAATTAAATTTGAATATTTTCAAAATGTTCAGGTTTTCATTAGATACCACCCAGCATGCATCCAGCTCAAAGGCATGTTGCATTTGAATAACCAGGTAAATCGACCACATGGAACTACTTGGTGAAGGGCAGGGATTGGAACATTGAAACACAAAATGACGGACGGCTTTAGAAATCACTCAAAGCATTGTGCAGTTATTAAACAAAACTGTAAGCCACTGGAGTGATACCAATTGTAAAGGGGTATTATCAGGCTTATTACATATATTATGAAATGTTTTAATACTCACTTTGAACCCATTAAGTAAGTCACTATACCTGATTTCACAGTATCCTTCCATCCCAGTGAATAATAATAACATTTTGAGAAAAGCTCAGTGTGTATCTACCGGCTTTGGTATCGCGGAGGACGTTGCAACAAAGTCCCACTGGATGTTGAGGTTTGTATCCGGCGCAGAAGTCACAAACGTACATGGCAGCAGGACATCTGTTCCCCTTGTAACGTTGACATATTTGTGCGGAGTGCTGACCTTGATCAGTTCAACGCATCCTGCAAAACAAGTCAAATCAAAAATAAATATCCAGAAATTCAAACAGAAACATGAAAAAAATCCTCAGAACACTGAATTACAGGCAGAAAGGTTGTTACCTATGATGCTTAAAAGCACCAACAACGACATTGTGGAGCACATCTCGACTGAATGTTGGATTCTTTCACAGGTCTTCTCAAGAAATTAATTTTCCACTCTCCACCACTGACTCCTGCACCCAACAGGAAGAGAGGGTCAGAAACGCTTACAGTATGAGAGGCAAGGTTACTGTATGCTGGGTAATGGACTGGCTGATACTGGGCCTGTTGATAACAATGTTTGCAAACCAATGTTTGCCAGACTGGGTGTGTTATTTTTTTTCAAACTTGATTTAGCCAGTTATAATTTTGGGTGTGGGAAGATGAAAACTAGAAAAAAACGTACCATACATATAAGAATAACTGAGATAATACATTGTCCATTTTGAATTATAGCAAATGACGTTATAGCCTATTGTGTGACTAGAAGGCAGGTTCAGGTAATCAACTTGTATCATCATTACTACAGGCTAAATATTCTATAGGCCTACAGGTAAATGTAATTCAAAATCTTACTTAAGTAAAAGTACAAAAGTATTAGCATCAACATGTTTTACCAAAAATAAAAGCAATAGATGATTTGAATTACTGATGCACACACATGTACAATGTTCATCATTTGAATGTTGCTGCTGATAAAGGTAGATTGACGATGCTGTTGGTTTATTTATATTGTGGCATAATATTCAGATTCTGCAAAGTAACTGTAAACATGTCCCTGAAATGTAATGGGGTAGAAATATAAAGTAGCATAAAATGGAAATACTCCAGTATTAAAATGGAAGTATCTCAAAATTGTGATTAAGTACCTTACTTGAGTACAAGTACTTAGTTACATTGCACCGCTGGTTGTGACACTGATGGTTAATTCACGTTGCAGCACTTTGGCAGTGGCTTCTCCTCAGCGCATCAATCCATCCTCCTTGTCTTGTAAGTCATTCCGGGTCAGGGCTTCTGGCGGAGGAATTCATGTAATTTAATCTCCACCTGGCCTTTATCGCTCGCCTCAAGGAAGTGTAAGGCAAAGCACTGCAACACCCTGCTTATCATTGGGGAGTTCACTCCCTGGTGCTGCCTACTTAATAAAGGCAGCTTCACCTTTGTCGTTTTCCCTTTCGCAGCATGGAGCACAATGCTGACGGAGAGAGGGAGACAGTGAATCACACATGATTAATTGTCTATAGTTACCAGAAGCTGACATAAGCCATTAACAATGTGAAAAATGTTGATCAGGGGTGACTGGAGGGGTGAGGGAGGAGGTGGGGAGTGGATGGAGGCGTGTGGAGCTCATTATCCAGGAGACGATAACGTGAGAGGACAGGAAGTGAGACGATCGGGGTGTCTGCAGACTTTGTGTGCAGAAAACAACATGTGTTGGCTGCTGTGTGTGTTTGGGCAGAACTGTACGCTGCAACAACAAGGGGCCGGCTTTAAATAAGTGAAACCAACAGCATGACTCATGAGCGTCTCATCAGGATCCAAGACTCACTAACATTATGGAGGATCAAGTAGCAAGCGGTGTGAGTCAATAAGTGATCAGAGAGTGGGAAGTGAACGCTGCATTTTGTTCCGTAAACTCTGAATATTGTAAACCTGTGGGTACATTTGGGGAATACTGGTTATCTCTTCTGGTATAAGCTGTTTGATATACTGTATGCTCCACTGTTTGGTTCCCCCTTTATTTCAGCAACAGTCACACTTCTGTATTTGGGACAATGTTTTATTATCTATTTGCTGCATCCAAAACGTTAAAAGAGGAGACACTGCAGACACACACACCTCTTTTTATGGTAGTTTTTAAGGGCTGTGATATTTTGCTTATTTCTGAATAGTGAAAAGAAAACATCCAAAATAAACATTAAGGTGTTTATTATACTAATTGTGTTTTTGCGTCTGTTTAATTCTACTAAAAGCTACCATTAGATGCTTTAGAAAATGCCTCGTTTAATAGAAAAATTTAATTTCAGAACAATGTAATGCATTGTCATAAAGTAAGCACTCAACTCTAAGAGGCCTCATGGTGATATCGCATAATTACAAATGTCACAATTCACCTATAGTGTGTCCTCTTTAATAATTACATTTCAGTTTTTTTTAACCTTGCATATCTGCATTCATTTTTGTAATCGTTAGTTTCCTATTTATATATACATTTTTCCATTTATTTGCACAAACATAATTTTAACAAAAAGGAAAAGTACTATTTCATTTCAAAATAAAAGTTTTGCCAGAAATGTGTCATTGACGTATAGAAGTATTGGACAAATTGAAAATTGTAACATTGACTCACTGCTGAGAAAAAGTCAAGGGATCCCTAAAGTCATTAAAACTCACCCGCAGGGCACCATGGGTAATTGTGGATCCATGGTGCCCTGGATATTGGATATGTGATGTTAATCACACATCAGTTGTTGTGATATTTGGAATACAGAAATATCAACTTCATGGTGGCACTACATGAAACGTCAGGGGATCACCAAATTCATTTAGATGTATCATCTGGGGACAATGATCGTCTGTGCAAACTCTAAATAAATCCATCAAATAGCTATTTATATTCAGAGTGTTGCACCCGCAGACAGAAGTCAATCACTCTGGTGACTCTTAAGGTTTGAATGTGAGCCGAGGGCCGATGACGAATCCTCCCCCCCGGCAGCGTGCACCAACTCAGAAAGTGTCTCTGCTGAGCACGGTGTCCCACACAAACCTCCAGCAGGATTCAGTGCAATACCTCCACACACACATATCCACACACACATCTCCATCCACACACTACAGCCAGTGTTTCCCCGTCAGCAGACTGCCAGCAGCTGTGAATCAGAGCTCTGGCTCAAGAACAGCACGGAGGAGTGGGGCCTTCTCTGCCAGTTCGGATAGACCTGTCTGGAGATAGATTGGATGTTATAACAACAAAAACAACATATGATCAAATATGTATCAGTTGACTATTGTAGCAGTGTTTTTATTTAAAGTTTATTAGGAATGGTTTTGTTTGAGATACTGTCCATGCTCTTGTTATGAAGGAAAGCAGGGATGCAGTTCGGGAGTTGGCCAGCAGATGACAGGCCAGGCTATTAGATGTCGTGTGTGTGTGTGTGTGTGTGTGTGTGTGTGTGTGTGTGTGTGTGTGTGTGTGTGTGTGTGTGTGTGTGTGTGTGTGTGTGTAAACTGGCCTCACTCCTCATCTCTCAACAGCCTTGGGAAAAACAAAACAAAACAAACAAATAAATACAAATGAAACAATAACCAGATATTTAGCACGGCTTTAGCACGTGCCAGGCAATCATACTGACTTTTAGAATAGTGATGTTACAAATCCAAATCGAGTGTGAGAACAATGCAACCACAGCAAGCTGCGTACAGTATCATCTGACTCGCTCTGAAGCAAAGGTTTTCTTTGCATTGTTTTTTTCTCCAAAAAACACATTGGCATCAAATGCAAACATGAAACACTGCTTACACAACTGTACAAATAAACCTATATTTAAATAAAGTGGGGCACAGGAAGTCAGTGGCAACGTCTCCTGATGCTTTTGTCACCTCTGAGTTACAGAGTGTGTTATTTGAGGAGGTGACCTGTCAGGAACAGAGCGACACAGAGGGCAGAGGGGGGGCGGTGTAAATCAGCAAACAGTTTAAATGACAGCCCGTCAGTGTGCTATAACTTTCATAATGTGTGACCCTTATTGGCATAAAGAAGCATTACACCTCCCAAGACACACTATCTAATGGCATTTCTGATCATTACAATCTGTTCTTTAGTGACTGACTTCAGTCCAGGGAAAATGCCAAAATAAATTGAGTAGCAGGGTTTTGGGATTTGGCAGAAAAGTACAATTTTACGCATTTGACTTTTGATCTTATCACAATTTAACTGACACATTTAGCTTAGCAAGAGGCGGTTTTTATTTTCCACGCAGCATAGTCTACCAAGCTATAGAATTTTAAAGTGGTTCTCACTGTGCTTTCTTTATACCTAATGCAACATACAGGAGAAAGATTTCAGTATTTTGAAACTCGATTGATATTCATTTGGTCATGCAAATGTTGGAGGGAATTGACAAGCACAAACAAAGACATGTATTATCAATTCATTGTGAAAAGTGACACAGATGGCATGTGCATCTACTCGATTACATGAAACAATCAATGTGCAGTATGATTGATCTCACCTTTAACTGCTCCCCCTACATCTTTTTCGGTTTACGGTTGAATTTCCTAAATGATGTCCCTTTGTGGGGGTTAGATTTAGTGTTGCAGCCGAGGTCACATTGCTTTAAAAAAGATGTGTTTTAATATTTCATTAGACACATTATACTTCCACTCTTCTTCATCTCTTCCCCCAAACAAGACATCCATGGCAACACAGATGAACATCTTGTAAAAGGAAAACAGAAGGACTTGCCGCGCAGCAGGAGGAGCATGCTTCACATTTTATCATTCCAAAGTTAATGCTAGAAGAAATTCTTGTTTAGGGCTAAAAACGAAGAGATTTGAGTATTTGACTGTTAACTGACGATGACTTTAGTGCATGTTATCTTTCCTGCAAAACCCTGGATCAGAAGCACCTCTGTGTTGTAGAGGCTACTGTAATAATCATGAGCTATTCTTGAAATACTGGATGTTTCTGTTGCATAGCCATGGAAATCATGACAGTTACAACAACACCTGAGCAAAATGAAAAATCTCTCTTTCAAGTTTCAAATATTCTTCCATCGTTTGAAATGAGTTCAAGCTATTTGATTAAAAGCACACACGTGGCAGAAAACACAAGCATTATAAGCCTCAAAGCAACCACTGCTTTTTGAACGCTTTCAAGTTTACTCCCCCCACAGAGGTACAGCCATCAATTCCTGACCCATGTTAATGCACACTTTCAATATTTAATGTTTTTATATGGAGTGCTGACAATAGAACTCAGAAATGGAGTGAGCAGCCACTTCACTGACTTCCCCTCAGCTTTCTATGCGCTCCAATGCAGAAAGAGCAAAACACTACTGAGACTGAACGTGTACATTTGTATGCACACACTTAACACAAATGTTGAAATCAATCAGTAGTATTTGTATAAATTATTGTTTCGAAGCCATTTTCCAAAGGTGACTTTCAATAGGTCGTATAA